TTCCAGCATCACCAGCACCTGGTAGGTCCAGTCCCCGTTGGGGACCACGTCGGTGGCCACCACGTGCTCCGGCAGCTCCTGCCCATCCTGGAACCACCTCACCTGCACCGGGGAAGGGTAGAAATCCAACACGGAGCAGAGCAGGCGGCCGGGGCCAGGCTGGGAGCTCGACGGCACCAACGAGATGGACACGCTGGGGGGCACTGGGAGAGACGGGGGAGACACTGGACTGAGCTGGGGGGCACTGGGAGAGAGGGCACAGGGCTTGTAGGACATTGGTAGTGGTTTGGGTGGCGCTGGGAGGGACTGGGATGGCGCTGGGAGGGACTGGGAATGGACTGGGGTAGAAGGGGATGGGCTGGGGGGGTCACTGGGGAGAGAGTTGGGAGATGTGGGAGTGAACTGAGAACGGCTGGGAATGGACTGAGAGGGTCTGGGAGTGGAATCAGAGGGTCTCTGAAGGACTGGGAGGGACTGGGAGGGACTGGGATGGACTGAGAAGGGCCCGAGCGGGACTGGGAGGCTGTGTCCTGGAAAGGGAACTCTGCGCTGCGGGTCTGCCCGGCAACTGATGAGTCATCGGAGAGACGCGCTCTGATTGGCTGAGGGCAGGGAGAGCGGTGGCCCCAGTGGGGTGGAGACGCGGGGGGCACTGGGAGAGATTGGGATGGACTGGGGGACACTGGAAAAAACTAGGATGGATCGGAATGGAATGGGGAGCACTGGGAGAGAGTGGCATGGATTCGGGGGCACTGGGATGGGGAAAAAGACGACGGGGATGGGCACAGGGAGGGCTGAGGGGTCAGGGTTGATTCCCAGGGAGGGTTTGAGGGGTCAGGGTTGATTCCCAGGGAGGGTTTGAGGGGCTCCAGGGTCGCTCTCGGGACAGGGAAATTCCCGAGGGGACCCGCTCTGCCCCGCGCTCACCTCTGCGGTTCACAAGGAACCGGGTGGCGATCTGGTAGTTGTGCCGGCAGAACGTGTCCACCGCAGCCCGTGCGTGCTCCAGAAAGTCCTGTTGGCTGTTCAAGTGCCTGGCCACCTTCTCCCCATACGGGGTGTCCCCCACAAAGACTCCCACATCGCTGTCGAAGTGGGCGAGCTGCTGCCGGTTGTAGATGTTCCTCCCCACAAGCCTCACCCGCTCGGTGCCGTTGATGAAGTGACACTCGTACTTTATCATCTGCTGGAACACCCCTGTGTGTGCAGGACACGGGTCAGGGGGTGCCGCGTCCCCCCCCAGTCATCCCTTATCCGCTCACAGCAGGTTGGAAGCTCAGGGGGCCACCCTGCACCTCCCTTTCTCACCCCCCTCTGCCCCACGGCCCCCGCAGCACCGGCTCTTGGCTGGGGGGGAACCCCCCCATCAGCCCCCCCAGGATGGACAGGAGGGTTAGGGACCCCCCCCCAGTGTGAATTTGACCCCCCCTAGAGCCCCAGGGAACCACTGCAGGGCTCCAGTGATGGCGGACACCGAGGGACCCCCATGGCACCCCTCTTCTTGCTCTCCTACCTCCCTTTTCCCCCTCTCCCACCCCTTTCCCACTGTCCTCCCAATCCCCAGACCCCCACCTTGCTCAGTTTGGGGCTCCTACTTCCCTCTCACTAATTCCGAGGGTTCCAACCCCCCTCGCACTCACTTTTAGGGTTCCCAACCCCTCTTTTCTCTCCTCTTTCCCCCTTTCCCGCCCCCTCGCTCACCCGAGAGCTCCTCGCCCGCAGCCGGGGGGGCTCCCAGCACCACCAGTACCACCAGTACCACCAGTACGGCCCCAGCTCCCCGCACACGCTCCATCCCTAGCGCCGAGCAGGGGCTGACACCCCAAAACCAGCCGGGCGGGGCCGTTTTGGGGGGTTTTGGCCGCGCTCTGATTGGCTGAGGGCAAAATCGGGGCCCGTTTTGCGTCGCGTCTTCCCGGCAACTGATGAGTCATCAGCATATCGCGCTTTGATTGGCCAGAGCTGAGCGGGAGCTTTCTGATTGGCTGATGCCGTTGGGGGCGCTGCAGCCCCGGGGGTGGGGGGTTCTGGGGGGTCCGTGGGGTGGACCCGGTTGGGAACAACCCCCGATCTCCCCCCGGGGCCCGAGGGCGGAGCGGACCCGGTTGGGAACACCCCGCTCGTC